TGAGCAGACTCAAAATCCCGCCTTTAGAAAATATGGAAATGCAAATTTGAGAAAGCGCAATAGCTACAATTTGTTGTGTGAGGAAATCTGCCAAAGAATATATCGGACGAGAAGGTGGAAAGGTAATATTTGGTGCAAAAGTTTTCAACAATAGAATTCCAGGAAGCGGAAATCAGTGTATACAATCGATATTACCATTAGTGTGTCATTGGAGAGCTCGACTCGGAAGCGGAATGGAAAACTTCTACACAATTCACTCAGCGAATCAGCAACGGAAAATAATTGGCTTTAAGAATCTAGAGTATGAAGAAATCAGAGAGGAACGGGTTCAGATTTATATTAGAAAAAAGAATCACATTTGTTGCCAGACCTGGCGCGAGGTGGAGTAAAGTATCTATCAGTTATCATTATACTGTAAGGAGAAACGAAAGTGGAAATTCCTAAGAACACGAGTGAATGTGACTATGAGCTGGAAGTTCTTTGAATGACTTTCTGAACATCCCGAGTTTCCAATAAAAGTAGATGTATATGGACAATTGCTGACTTCTCGTAATTTCATCACGATGCGCAGATAAAGAATTCATTTTACTTCGCGCAAGTCTGCATAAACTTTCCTGATTTAACCATTTATGCAGTGTTTACGAAGCTTCGTTGCGGACTTTGGCTCTGCTGTTCTCATTTTGTGAGTGCTTGATCTGGTTCATTCAGCACACATAATTAAGGATAATCAGAGCTTTTCATGCGAGAACGAGAATTCAAGCAGACATTTTTTAATCTTTCTGAAAGAACACTGTTCAGAACTATGCCGAACACATCTCAACAACTCGGTTTTCGTTAACTATCGAACTTAAGGTAACGTTCACACAACTATTGTGGAGCATGCGATGGCTAGCTAATGGTTTCTAAAAAAAAGTTTGCTATGGCTGCTCTTCAAGTGAATTAGAGATTGTTTGAACACCATAGCCACTACGCGGCTCTCACTACGGTAATGATCGCAGTACTACGTGAAGTTAAAGGTCTCACTTATACAATATCTCACAAGAATCCTACCATTTGGGCCAATATGAAGTATGCTTTTCCGGTCTTGATGATGAAAAAGGAAAGCACCGCGTGCTCTAATAAATTTATCGGTCATGTTACAAAATTTCCGTGAACAAATGGCGATGAATAAGCAGTTCCGTGATGTATCAGTTCCTCGTCATAAACAGTTCCGTGTTGTTCGAGTTGAAACGCTGGACGGCGAGTGACACAGTGACGGTATGTTATCGTACTTTTGTTACGATACTCTGCGGGACGACGGAAGTCAGCCAATACAAGAGAAATTTCGTTCTCCGCAGACCCTTAGCGAGGAATCGTAGGATTGATCAAAATCAACTGCCAAAACAGTGCGACGAGGATTTAACTTCTGCCGGCGATGAAAACTCTGCTTATTACTCAGCCTTATTTATTGATAATTGTAGCATTACATCATTGCTACGTGAGTGTTAAAATGAAGAAATCTCGCCAAGCCTCCTGAAAACTGGTTATTCCTCCTTTCATGTGAAAGGGGCATGAGTCGGTTCTGTTGGATTAATTCGTTATATTAAGTCTCCATTGAGCTTTCGACTTAATCCAAAAATCTAAAAATATATGTTACCAAGTAATTGAAAGTATCAAATAACATTAGTTAAAGTATTCGCCGTCTGTCTGGATGCAATTCTGCCAGCGCTCCCAGTAACAAATTAATTCCGCGCTCATGAAACTTATTATCCTCGATGCAAACCACCAGTCATATCTCGACTCAAGATGAATGATGTCTCGAAACGCGCTTCTTCTTGTCCATCCAGTGCTTCAATAATCTGAAGAGATGAATCGGACGTAGGCAGATCTGGCGAATACGGCGGATGATCCAAGTGCTCCCACTCCAAATCGGTCAACTTCGTCCTTGTTTCCTTGGCAACGTGTGGCTTTGCACTGTCTTGAACATAATGACTTAGCGATGGCAGTGACGTGAACGGTGCTTGATTGCAACGGTCCAGTTGCTGACAATATTGCTCAGAAGTTTCAGGGTCCGACTGGCTTGTAACAAGTCCTAATGAATCGGTCCACTTCGTCTCAGAAAACGATCAACTTTGCTTTCAGCGCAAATCGATTTGGTCTATAATTGAACCCTGCTGACCTGGTGATTACCACGATTTGGGCGACGCTGGCTTTGAAGAAGATCCACTTCTTTCAATGGTGGCAATCCTGTTCAAGAAAACGAAGAGCTGCGATGACGACGAATATGAGCTTGCGCAATCTACTTTCCCTTGATCTTTTGAGCTTGTGTGAATCGTGCGAAATCCGACTGGCACTTGCGCCATTTTTTGCCTGCATCTCTCAAAAATCTCCCGGTTCTGCTCACTGAACATTGGAAATCATTGACCAAATCTTTGTTGATAAAGTCGGATCTTCTTCAATCGCTTCAGTGATTGCTTCCCGATCAACTACATGCGATCTCCGGATTTTGGTTGATCGGCCCAAATCAGTTTCTCCATTGCAGAAACTTTGCAAACCATCATACACAGTAATTCTACCCACATCTTGGCGGCCTTTTGCACGATTGATGTGCCAAATGCAGTTGGAAAATTGTGCCCAATTGAAACTGGTAAAGCAATAGTTGCGAATGGCTTTCCGTGACGGCTCCATTGTTGGACAAGTATGTGCCAAAATATACCAAACGATGGGCAAGAAAATTATGCACAATATAGATAGAAGAAAAATTGTTTTTGTGGGAAAAATTTCATCTTCTGGATCATGTTCGGAAACCAGTTGGAGATTTGATAGCCTAGATAAGAACTCCATCTTGGATTTTTCATAGGCATGGAACAAGATAGCACTAAGAATCTATCATTATGAATAAAAATAAAGGGTAACAGGACAAACAGGTGATGGGGAAACATTTACATCGAGTTGTAAAGCTTCTTCTCTAGGTGCAACATCTGCTTACTAGAATTCTAACGTAATGAGAAGAAAAACGGAAGGCTCTTAAGAACGCTAAGATAACCTTAAACTGAGGCTCTTTTACTCACCTTATAAAGTGTTTTTAATTCGTTTTCAGCTTTCAAAGTACCAATGAAGCAGAGACGATACTAAAGGAATTATTCGAACGAAGCGGGAAAGGAGATCGGTTTACGTATCAATAGGATGAAGACTTGGTACATGAAGAACCATGGTGCAATGGTGATCATGTCGAAATGGATGGTTTTCTGATTGCATAAGCCACCTCGCATGTGTGCCTTGGGCGTTTACGGGACATGGAAAACAACTTGAAGGAGGATCTAGATAGAGGAGGAGAGCAGCATGGGCCGCATTCGGGCCCCTGTCAATGAAGTCATCGATCAGCTAACGGACCCCAAAAGTCCGTGCTCACTTTTCGTTTCAACGACCCTCCTGGCGCTCTGCTATGCAGCTGAGACGTGGGAGATACTTTGATCACGACAAGACTGCTACGAACGACTCACAAAGCGCTTGAACCGATGTCTTCTCAAATTCAATTGGCGTAACACAACATCTGGACGGCTGTGTAGCTCAGATCTGCGGGATCATTCCATCTTGGAGACTCAGAGATCTATACATCTATGGCGAAGCACGGATGGGCCGGTCATATACTGAGAGGAACGAACGACAAATGGGCGAGAAGAACTGTAGAGTGGATTCCAAGACAATGTATGCGTCCTCGAGAACGACCACCTACAATTTGGGCTAAGTGTTCGCTAAAAGAATTAAGGAGCTGTACTCGCAGCTCTCACTTTTTCTCAGATCACGGGTATGACACTCGCAGCAGCCGCTGTGCTCATATCAGATCACCGTCGTGGACGACTGCGGCGCAGCAGAGAGACGAATGAAATATGTGCTGAGATCCGCGCATTATAGTAAAGGCGGACCACTCAAGTATCAAGTAAGCAAGTATTTCAATTGAAGGGGGTCGATTCGGTAATTCAATCTTCAAAAATTCATATACAGCTTGAAATTTTATCTAAAACAACAGTTCAATGCAAATATTGCTCAGTTTTTGTAAGAGAAGAGCTGTAAATACATCATTAAATTGGATAACATTTTGATGGTGGTTTCCTGTAATTATTGATATCCTGATAAGTACTCGTTATTTCTTTTTTATGTCTTTCGTTTCGATTGTTTTCTTAAGACCACTGTTCAAATTTCAATATGCCTGATAATCATTATTTGAGCCACGCATGTCAGTGGTCTGTCAAACAGGGCTGACTTATAGAGCCCGATACACATGTTTCGATCTTGCGATCTCGTCAGTCGGCAGTTACCCTTTCTCGTCTTTTGCTAACCTCTGTGGGTGCTCTAGTCCCCACACTAAGAGTTAGCGGACGGACGAAACGTCATACATTCTATGTCCTGTGAAAATCTCACCGGACTTAGAGTGTTGTACACTCGATTGCTCTTGGCTGGTATATTCAATATATCAAGAGCAATCGAGTGTACAACACTCATGTTCGGTGGAGATTTCACTGGACATAGAGTGTAAAACGTTTGCTGTCGCTAACTCTTAGTGTGGGGACTGGAGCACCCACACAGGATTGGCAAGAGGAAGGGTAACTGCCGACTGACGAGATCGTCGATTTATATTTTAATATCTTACAAGAAAAATTTCTATCCATGCTGAAATCACTAGCAGTCGACATAAGGATGCCTTCGCACGTTAGTTCAACTCCCTGACATTGATGAGTGCTAAGATGAATGGATGATGAATGTTGGGAGGTTTAAAGGATGGAAAAAGTATAAAAAACACATAGCACCTCTTCAAAGGTATCGATTAACTTTACGTATCGATAAGTTATCATTCTACATAAAGCAGAGTGCTTGTCTGCACAAAAATTTTTGTCCTAGACTCAATCGACTATATCATGTGTTGCTATGCTGATCAATCAAAATTCATTTACTTGACCGTTTCTTGCGGTGTTATAATCTTATAATATACACAAAAATGTGGAGTGCTATGGAGAAACATTTGCGTCATCCGGGATTCGAACCCAGATCTCACTCTTTACGGGGAGCGCGTGCTGAACCGTTGCACCCACCGACTCTTGTTTGCAAGCACTCTTTTACGTCACAACGCGTTATCTGTCAACAGCCAACCGTCGACGCAAATGTTTTTGCAAAACACTCCATAATTTGGTCTATTACAAGATCATAACACCGCAAGAAGCGGTCAAATAAATGAATTTCAACTGATTATTGATACACAATATCTGCCAGCACAAGTGGGCTCAATGCGATAGCTGCTGCCCCGCCAGACCGGCCCACGGTTGGCTGTTGACAGATAACGCGTTGTAACGTAAAAGGGTGATGTGCAAAACGGGCTTTGCTGATTGTCATTGACTTAAGCGAGCACATATAGAATTTCATTTTTATTCTATCTTGTGCAAGAGTACGTTTCGACCTTCTTTTCTCATTAGTAGCCTATATATAAGGAATAGACTCGAATTACTTACAAGATCTGTAGAGTGAAAAGTTCGCCCTACGCTGTAGTGACGACAGCTCACTGCATGACAAGTGATACGATCACCTGACGTTTCAGTGATTGAAAGTCGATTGCTTATGGCTGGTAAATCGAATAATAATACCTTTGCATGAACATACAGAATTTCCTTTTTATTTTATCGTTTCTAGTGGCGGCGTTATATCACATCATACCCATTGTGTAGAGTGACATGCAAAACTAACAGATATTGGGTATTAGGCTGCGTCAGCGTGATTAAGTTCAATGGCGATAGCGACTACTCGTGTCCGTTGACGCTTGGTGTTGATAGATAGATGTGTTGTAACATTGAAATAGTGGTGTCAAAGCAGGCGTCGATAGTGCAACGGTTCGAGCACGCGCCCCGGGATAGGGTGATATTCGAGTTCGAGTGCCACTTGGCGCATAATTTTGCACATCACTCTACATCAGTGATGCCCTCATAATGACTCTTTTTTGACCATTGTTCAAAAGAATATAACAAATTAGAACGGCATAATAACTGGAGAAGTATTGCTGTAAGCAAGGTCTTGAAAAAAATCTAATATAAACTTGCTGAGTAATATTCAAAGATCTGAATATGTAGGAGACTGGACTCTGCTTCATCGTCTCCAACATTTGCATTCAAGCATTCCTACGATCCTAGTTGGAAATTTGCTGGACGGTACTCCTTCGCATGGCTGAACTTCCCTGTCTTTGTGAAACATTGTAATGAAGGAATGTTGCGACCACAGTTGAGTAGTTATACTGATGCAACATGGAACTTCTACGAAAAGAAAGTGAAACAGCACGAAACTGCTTACTCGTACTTATTCAGCATTGACAAAAAATTCGTAAGAGGGCCGATAGTTTTACTAGCACCATCTTTGGTTCCGCTTTGTCATCAACCTAAATCGGAAAAGAATGAACTATCATGCTCCGAATGCTAAGTTCCTTGCTAAGAAGTCGAAAATGTGGTGAGACCTCTAACTTTACATAGTACTTCAATCAACCTCCTCGTCGGAAACACAATGACTACCTAATGCACTCATAAGGAGCCGGAAATGGGCCATAGTAGGAAACAGAATAGTGGACAAATTAATGTAAAGCACTCGCCAATTTCAGAAAATACTTTTCTTCATACCAATGTAAGTGTTTTCATCACAAATTCTGCTCCCTTCCCCTTCAGATTTCTTCATAACAGCGGTTCTTGATATCATCCCATTCTGCATCTGTTTCCGGATCCCAATGATGTTGAGTGATGCGCAAAACCTTGACGTCAGGCAAGAGTCGAACCAGCACTTCACCCTTCCCAGGGCGCCGGCTTTACCAGTTGCACTATCAACCGCCCTGTTTCGCCATTATTCTTTCTGCGTACAATGCATCAACACCACTGCTAAAAGGCGATTCAATAAAAAAATCCTTATCGACCACATATATATCCAAAATCTGTCGGCAATCTGGGCTTAATGTCAATATCGATTACCCAGGCCGAACCGTTGACTGCTGGTTGCTGACAGATTGATGCGTTCTTTCTTGGAAAGAATGCTGACAAAACAAGCGTCGGTAGTGTAAATGGTTAAGCACGCGCCCTCATGAGAAGGGAAAGGGGTTTCGGGTCTTAACAGACGTCGAAGATTTGCACCTCACACAACATCATTGGGTTTACCTAGGCCATTGCACCGCCGTTAAAAAAGGAGGAATAAAAGAATTCTGCTTTCTATTTAAATTGTCAAGAATTTTGTGAAGGTTTTCTTCTTCGTAGTAACTCCATCATGAATTTGGGAACTGCGATTAGCAATCTGTTCGAGCGTTCGTATTAGGCAGGCAACTCACACAAATGCGAGGAACAGTTTTTTCCAATAAAACTGGTTTCTAGTAATGCTCGTGGCTTCCGGTCTCGACGGTATAAATAGATATGTGTTTTTAAAAAGAACTTTTTATTATAGTGTTGCAACCAAGAGAATACTGCGTTTCGCAGATAGTCGATACGTGCGGGGCGAGGTTTTGGGGGGGGAAAAAAAAAAAAAAACGTCCGTTAGCGAGTTTGTGCCCTCAATGCTGGAAAAATCTTCATTCGGCATTATACCGGAATGGCAAAAAAAAAGATTGAAGACGCACTCAGTTACAAAAAAATTTACTAATCTTTTTCAATTGTGAATTACAGCACAATTGAGAAGGGAAGTTTCATTTCATTTAAATGGCAAATTCATACATTGAAAAATCTTAGGGATTGGATTGCACGACGAACCGGTGTTCTCGACATGGTTGGTTACTGATCGTCAAGGAAAAATTTTTATTATAAGAGGCCGTGCTGTTTTGACAAAATGGTTGAGTTAAAAACTTTTAAAAATAATTATTATTTCTATCTCCTTCGAAACCCGCAATTCAGAATGTGTGGGTTTACGGTTGCTAAGACAAGGTGTCCAAGATTTCGGAAATAAAAAAAACAAAACCAAAAAAAAAAAAAAAAAGAAATCGGAAAAACAAAAAAAAAAAAACAAAAACAAAAAACGCAAAAAAAAAAAAAAGTATTGCCATTTGGAGAAGAATGGTTTTTTTTTTTTTGTTTTATCATTTCTTAAATTTGAGATTTTAGCCTATACGGCGATAAAAATAACCCTGAACAATCGGTATTCTTGGAATCCTTGTGAAAAAAAAGGTCCAAGGACTAATAACCAAAAAGAAAAACTAAAAGATTTAATTTTATAAAAGAGATTTGTTACTTGTTTATCCATTGCTGTTTTGTACATTCCATACAATTTATTTAATGAACAAATTTCATGGACCCGTTTTGCTTAGTGTAAACAAACGTTTTTTTTTATCTACAAAAAGAGAACCACCCGCAACATTTTTAAACCAAAAGGCAGCATATTCTTCGAGCGCAGTTTTAGAGGGAAAGGGGGGGGGAAAGGGGGGGGAAAGGAAGGGGGAGAGAGGAAAAGAGGGGGGGGGGGGGGGGGGGGGGAAGGGAAAAATCTGGGGGTTTTGTATTTGAAGTGGAAAAGTGGTACAAGATTTCCAAAATTTTTCAAAAAAGAAAAGGGGTTGAGAATAGAAACCTTAATTCAAACGAAAAACACACACAACGAAAAAAGTTTTGCACAACTGCCCGCGCGCTTTAAAATTCTATATAGCTGTCCCGTAGGAGGGGTTTTTTTATTTTTTTTTTTTTTTTTTTGTTTTTTTTTTTTTTTTTTTTTTTTTTTTTTTATTTTTTTTTTTTTTTTTTTTTTTAGTTTTCTTTTTCTTTTTTATTTTGTTTTTTTTTTTTTTTTTTTATTTTTTTTTTTTTTGTTTTTTTTTTTTTTTTTTTTTTTTTTTTTTTTATTGTTTTTTTTTGGGTTGTGTTTTTTTTTTTTTTTTTTTTTTTTTCCTTTTTTTTTTTTTTTTTTAAACTCCTCAAGCTCTTTTTTTCTATTTTCCCTTCCACTCCTCAAGGACGGTGTTCTTGCAAACCCCCTAACTTTATCTTTGATCACGGGCCAAGTGTGGTTTTTTTTTTAAGTCCACTATCTACTACATCACAGGAGACCTCCTTTCCCGTTAACCTGCCTTTTCTGAAGGGCTCATCCCTCTTCCTTTTTTGAGAGTGTTTGTGAGAGGTTAATGCCTTGCTCAGGTGCATGCCTTTTATGTCATGGCGTTGTTCGGTTCTTCTCCCCCCCCAAACCTCAAAATTAATTATTTTTTTTTATTTTTGCAGAGCTATCTTGCCGCCGCGATGAAATGGTGAAATGCCGATAATGTTTTTTTTTTTTTACATTGAGATAGTAGAAGATATAGCAACAAGAAAGAGGGACAACAGTAATTAGTTGCCAATAGGCAAAATTCTTTTTCCTTGGAAAAAACTGCGGATTCCTCGCTTCTTATTTATTGTTTTGGTTATTTAAGGTCTGAGTAAATTTTAGCGCGCCGTTTCCAGCAACCCCCCGCCGTTCCTCTACCCCCCCCCCAGTCCGAGCAAATCAAACCACAAAAAAGCAGAATTCCAGGAATATATGTTTCTCGTAATAATTCCTTGTACGAAACACAACAAACAAAGCTTTTTCCTTCAGTTTCAGATTTTTTAGCCAGTCAAAAACATCGCTATTTCCCTCTAGCTATTTTAAAATTTCAACAAATTTTTCCGTTTTGTTAAATAATTAAAAATGTGTTTGATTTCCTCAAAGGCTAGGGCTTTTTTTTTAACTCCGTCGCTTTCTAACAAAGCGAATTTCAAAGAGGATTTCTTCTGTATGTCCCCCCCGCTTTTTTTTGTAAGATATTATAGTTGTAGCACGACCTGCTTTTTGTTGGCAACTGATTACAGGCTATTATGGGTAGACCAAGGGTTGCTAACCCAGGAAGTAGTGGCAATAATTTGCAAAAAATACTATACCACATAGATTTGCAAGGGCCTCACCCGTCGATCTGTCCGTTACGGTGATGTTGTAAATTGGTTTTTGACAGTTTTCGAGCGTTAAGACTTCAAAGGCTTTAGGACTTCGGCTCTTTGGGCTTTCGTGGCATTTCTTTTTGGCTGCTGCTTTTACAATTTCACTCTATTATCTCCCCTTCACAAGCTAAAGTTCTTTTTTTAGAAAC